GCATTGCCGGACGGCATTTTCTATGACAATAGGCTATATTTCTCCTTATATGATTTTAGCCCAGGGAATTAGTATTTTCACTGACTAATATTCTTGCAATAACTAATTGTAATGTAATAATTCATGTGTATTTAATGATAAATTGAAATATGAAATAGGTAGCCTGGTCACGACTCAAGACGTCACTATATGGCTTTCGATTTCACTTTCTCAGGTATTCAGGTTTGGACTTTTTTCTACAATAGCCTAAGAGCCAAAGTTCACACTCAAACGCAAAGAAACCTGACCTTATTCTTCTGCAAACCGTGAAACAAACAAACAAACAAACAAACAAACAGACAGACAAGAATTAGCTAAAATAAATTATTAGCCTAAACAAAACACACGCTGTAAACATTTGTGTAGGCTAATTAATATATAGCCTAGGCTATTATGCTCTCCAACAATAGGCTATATGATATTATGCTTTATTCTGCAGTATTTTTTCTGGGCCTATCGTGTAATTTCTTTGTTTATTTATTTGTTTAGTTGTGTTCGTTACAAGGCAACACGTCCATTTAGCCTACTCTCTCTGTCTTTTATAGCCTATTTATTGTAGGGCTGCTGTATAGGGCTACATTACTATTCGGTGGTGTTTAATACTGTATACATTCAAGTGTAGTGTATTTGCGGTTGTTATTGTGTACATGAGAATAGGAATTCCAATGACAGGAACTTTCCCGACCGAGTGTGGTTTACCTATCGGCTCAGGTGTGCCGCTGTGACATCTGCAAAGTGAATCTGAATATCATATTCGATTCATAAGAGATAGCCTATATAAGAGGACAGAATGGAGGAGAAGAGACAAGATCATACAACAGCAGTAAAGAACAAACGGAGGACTGAAACAGCAGCAGCAGAAGCTCATCAAGCGGATCAACCTGAATCACTGATCACTCAAGACAACAGGATGAATGTTCGTGTGGATCTGAAGCTATGCCTTCTCCTGGCAGTGTGTGTCAGCTCTGTGCTGAGCTGCAGGTGGACCAGACAAACTCAACAAAGTCAATCAAAGTTTCTGCACCATCATGGGATCTCTCTGGATCTGATCAGAACGATGGTGAGTGTTTTTTTTCTTTCTTTTTCTTTTTCTACTTTACTAATGTCTTTCGATTTTTTTTTATACATATATGGCTATTCTTTGAGAGATTAATATTTGTCTTAAAATTGTCATGAAGGACTGTAAGTGTAAAAACACTTCACAAAGTGTTTTGAACCCTGGCTACTGTATCATACAATACATGACTTGGCCTGTAAATTACCAACATGAGCAAAAACCTCAATCTGTTAGTGATATTTATATTGTTATACTATATTGATATACTATATTGTTAGTGAAATTTCATGACGAACACTTACTGGACTGATTGATGAAAGAAATCATGTTGAAATGTGAGAATCAATATAATATCAGGCTTTTGAGGGAAGTTTATTTTATCTGTCAATCATATTGCATTGCATTATATGTTTTACTCCATAATATGGTTCATAAAACTATATCATCTTACTGATCTATTAATATGAATTTTATGTCAGTATCTGTTATTCGGATTTAGCTATCAGAATTTCATCTTACTTTTTGGCCATGTTAATCAATCTCTACAGCAACTTTCATATTTCGGCTCAGTCTTTTGCCTTTGAATAAAACTGGTGAACTTCATATTCTTACTATATTAATGACCCATATCAATCAAATACGATACAAAAAATTAAAAAGCATTCAGATTTGATTCTGTTCAATATAGTGTCTTCATGAAATCTGTTTCTAAATATTTTGCAGGGTGAGAAAATCCATAATGACCACGAGGACATCAACCCTATCCCATATGAGCTGATCAATAACCACAGAAGAGCAGAGGTTAGTAAAAACGATTATCACCAAAAAACAAAACAAAAAAAAAAACTGATTTGTGCTGTTGATTACAAACTACAAAGCTATATTTAACATCTATCTCTATTGTTTCCAGCCTGAGAAGCAGATCCTGTTTGTCATTCAGGCTCTGGTGGAGATCACTGGCCTCTTCGACGATGCCATCATTCCCTGGGAATGGGATGCTAAAAAATTTGACGATTTCTTAAACATCATCCATTCGCAGATTGACGGACTGCGCTCATGTGTGAGTACCGTATGTTCATATGTGCATTTACGTGATGTCATCAGCAGTCGAGCCAGAAGAACTCATTCTTGTCTTTCTGAATGCAGGGCGTTTACAAAATGAAGAAGAACAAAAAGCTGCATCTCTATTTCGAAAGATTGAGACAAATGACAGAGCTGAACAAGGTGAGATTTCTATTTCTAATAAGATTAACCCTCAGCTCTAAATGTGGAAACTCCTCCTAATGTTGTCTGGCTCTTACAGGAGGATGGAGGTAAAAGCTGGGAGATCGTCAGGAAACGGGTCATTAGTCTCCTGAACCAGCTGGAGTCTTTCCCCTTCAACTTTCAGGCTCATTGACTGGACTTCTAAAAGCTCCTCATTTACAGAAGAACAGAAACATTTCAGTGTTATTAATCAGTGTTTACACTCCTCTTTTTGTATACATTTGAAAAAGAATTATAGATGTATTTATTATTCTGTTTAGCTTTTATTTATATTAAATATTTTACATGTTAATAATTATTTAAGATATTTAGAATTATTATTTATTGTTATTTAATATGTATTTTTAATTTATATTTATTTGAACATATTTTATATTTTTATATGATATATTTTGCAGTTTTTTTTTAAAGATTTTATATTTATTTATTTATTTATGGATCCTTTATTCTAGAATTAATATGCAAAAATGCAGTGATTACTGATTACAATATGTATTTAGTATTTTTGACATTCAATAAAAACTTGAATTCTTAATATATTTTGTGAATTTATTTATGAAATATAAAGAAAGTTTATAAAATTATTTCCAAAAGATATTTATTGTTGTTTTTTATTCTGTTTAGCTTTTATTTATATTAAAGATATTACATGTTAATAATTATTTAAGATATGTAGAATTATTATTTATTTTTATTCAATATGTATTTTTGATTTATTTATTTTAACATGTTTTATATTTTTATATGATACATTTTGCAGTTTTTAAAGATTTTATATTTATTTATTTATTAATGATCCTTTATTCTAGAATTAATATGCAAAAATGCAGTGATTACTGATTACATTATGTATTTTGTATTTTTGACATTCAATAAAAACTTGAATTCTCAATATATTTTGTGAATTTATTTATGAAATATAAAGAAAGTTTATAAAATTATTTAAAAAAGATATTTATTGATTTTTTTTATTCTGTTTAGCTTTTATTTATATTAAAGATATTACATATTAATAATTATTTAAGATATTTAGGATTATTATTTATTGCTATTTAATATGTAGGCCTATTTTTGATTTATATTTATTTTAACATATTTTATATTTTTTATATGATATATTTTGCGGTTTTTTTAAAAGATTTTATACTTATTTATTTATTTATTTATTAATTATCCTTTATTCTAGAATTAATATGCAAAATTTTAATTACTGATTACATTACATTACATTATTATGTATTTTGTATTTTTGACATTCAATAAAAACTTGAATTCTTAATATATTTTTTGAATTTATTTATAAAATCTAAAGAAATTTTATAAAATCTTTTCCAAAAGAAAACGTTTTCCGATGTTTGCAAATTGGCAGCTTGGGCTGGAAGAAACTACAGCACTTTTCAGAGCATCATACACTTGATGTCGACTTTGTAGAAGGTTAAGAAAAACAACTGAGGATCTCACACATCATCATCATCATCATCATATGAATATTGAAATGTCATAATTACTAGATTTAAGCCATCTGTGAAACCAGAGGGAAAAAATTTACATAAGCCTTAAGTCTGAACTAAGAATTAAAAAGTCAACCATTACTACAAATTAAAACTTAAAATCAGGGAAAAATCTGTTGAAAAGTCATGTGTATTCCAGCCTGAAGATGATCTCGACTGTTAGTTTGTCTGAATGGCCATAAGATGGCGCTCTCCCTGCAGCTCTTACAGCACTTCGTTATTAGAAGACAGAACACTCTTCCAGTCTCTCTTTCTATCAGTCGGTGTCACTTTTTGTATTTCTTAGATTCTCTCTTTTCCATACATGTGTCCTATCCTTTCTCAGTCTGCATTCAAGCCTAAACATAACCCATAGGCCTACTGTACAGTCCAAACAGTTTTCTAATGTTTTAGGGTAAAGAATCAAAACAAATACTAACATAAAATGAAGAACACATATGATTTTGCAATATTTTACTAATCAAATATAGCAAATGTGTTAAATCCTTGTACAGACGGTCTTTGCAGATGCTCTTTCAAATGATTATCAGATTTGTAGAGTCCATCAGATAGAAAGAATGCAAAGAAAACATACCAAAAAAGCTGCTTTGTGGGAAAACACTTTATTCTCACATGCTTATTTTAACAGATATGAAGTGAAAGTAGACATTTGATTTGCAGGTCCCTTTAGCTTTGAGAAGTTCCTTACCACTAGTATTTTTATTTCCTCATACACACACCTTATTAACACGAAAGAAACGCCAGAGCCAGTGCATTTATAAAACAAACACACTCAAAAAAAAAAAAAAAAAAAAACTAGCACATAACACAATAGCATTTGATAAACCAAAAAAGCAAACAAAAACAAACACAAAAGTTAATGTATTACAACCCTGCTAAGAAAAGTAATGAAAACGTTATTTCTGAATGTTCTCAGAACATTTTAAAAACATTTGTTTCTTTCTCGGTTATGTGAACGTTAGAAACCATTAAAGCCATGTTTTCTCCATTTTATCATTTTTGCAAGTACACTCTAAAAAATGCTGGGTTGTTTTAACCCAACTTTGGGTCAAATATGGACTAACCCAGCCGTTGGGTTAAATTTTTACATTACATTTTTAACCCAACATTTCGGGTTTGTCCATATTTGACCCAAAATTGGGTTAAAACAACCCAGCATTTTTTAGAGTGTACTGTAAATGATTTCTGTTGTTTTCACAGTATTTTTGCTGTATTATTAGTGAAAGTTTACTGTAAAAACAGTTTACAGTAAGTTGCCGTAATTTAAGAAGCTTTTACAGTATTATTGATGTATTACAGCTGTCATACCGTAGAACTATTTACAGGAAAGTAACTGTCAATTTATGCTATTCTTTGAAGAAGAAAAAAAACAGAGTGTGACATTAATTACAGTAATCCTTATATTACTGTTAAATTGATGATATTTTCCAGTAAGTTACTGTTGATTTTACATTAAATTTGTTACAGTGTGGGAATGTTACATTTGAATGTTCTCTGAACCATCTGTCCAATTAAAATATTTCATTAAAAACATTCCATGAATAATGCGTAAATAACTCTTTTGCGGTAATGTTTTGATAATGTTATTAAAGACCATAACTTTGAACGAATATTTTATTAACATTAGTTTGTTCGTAACAGTGAGAGAACATCTGAGAACGGTCCCTGTAAGCTGGGAATTATTATGTAAATGTGTAATTTCTACAACATCATCAAAACTTATATAAACAGTAACGGCATGGTTACTGCTTCCAAAATATTTTCATGCTTTCAAGTGAAATCTTTCTCAAACATACACTCACTCTCAGTGACATCATCAGTGTGCACACAGCACACACAGATGGTCTGTCGTGATAGTGGACTGAATGTAATCATTGTTCTGTTGAAGCTGATATGGATGTGTGTGTTTTCTCACTCTTGCTCTGGGGACTCAACTTCCCATTCTGCATCTGTGGGCTGGGCGTAAGCAGAGATGTCCTCGTACACATCACCACCACAATGCTCGATTTCTAAACCCTGTACAGCAGCACACACAGAAAAAGCAGAAAGAATATTAAGAACATGTGATGTTGTCAAAGTAGTACACTAAAGTTTCATTTATGACAGTTTTTCTCGATTGATAACACACTATAGCCTAATAACTGATTCAGTTGACACAATTTCCCGAACCATTAATTCAGTTCTCAAAACAAAGACATTTCATAAAACGTTTAAAGGGATTATTCACTCAAAAATGAAAATGGTCTCATTAATTTCTCACCTTCATTCCAAACCGGTATGACTTTAATTTATATTCGGAGCACAAATGAAGATTTTTTTTTTTTTTTTGATGAAATCTGAGAGATTTCTATCCCTCCATTGACAGCTCAACTACACTTTGAAGCCGCAGGGACATCATTAAAGTAATCCATGTTACTCCAGTGGTTCAACCGCAATTTTATGAAGTGCTTTTTTTTGCGCAGAAAAAAACCCCAAACATTTTATTTACAATATATTACTCAAAAACGTGTGTTCATGAGAACATGCACCAAGATGCATGTGTGTTGTGTTGCGAGATCAGAAGTTGTTGCGTGAACGAGCATTTGAGATTCATATTTTGTAAATAAAGAGGTAAATTATGTTTTTTCGCAAACAACCCACTTGCATCTCTTCATAAATTGAGATTAAACCACTGGAGTCACATGGATTTCTTGAATGATGTCTTTACATTTCTGAGGCTTGAAAGTGGAAGTTGCATAGACTGTCAATGGAGGGACAGAAAGCTCTCTGATTTCATCAAAAATATCTTCATTTGTGTTTCGAAGATGAACGGAAGTTTTATGGTTGTTGGAATGACATGAGGGTGAATGATTATGTGCTATACATCCACAGGCTTTTTATACAGCACATACAGTATAATTACAGAACTCAGAACTTCTGTAATTCTGGGGAGGGAAAATTCACTATTTTATGTACAGTAAACTATTGAACATACACCCTCAAACGTGTGATTGTCAAATGTATTTGTTGCCAATTTTTTTCCATGTATTGTATTTTTGCAGAACTGAGAAAGTAGAGAAATTCTTGTCAGAAGACCAAGAAACTGCTATAATAGAAGATGCAGAGGATGCTTGATTTATTTATTTATTACTGCACTGTAATTGACCGTATACTGTATTGTGTTGCATACAGAGTTCATATTCAATCCAAATGGTATTTGACCTTTAGTGCTTATCTTCTCTAATCTTCCAGAATCTCTAGAATATTCTCAACTGTATAGTGTAAAGCTCATTGTGGTATTGACAGTATATGTTGTCTACTACTTGAGCTGCAACATTATTCTTGAATGTTGAGGATTTTGTAAGTGTTAATTATTCTTATAAAACTGTCAGTTCGAATCCTTTATTATGATTGGTCAAGAGCTGTGCTTTATTCACGATAAAACACGGCTAAGACCGCTTCACCCAACGGTTCTATTGATCGCTGCGCAACACTGCAGTTCTATGTTGTTTTTATTTGAGCTTTCACGCATTTTACACGTTGGAACGTTGTTGCTGTTCACGCTCAGGGACTATTTTTTCTAGCGGAAGGTAGGCTTTTAGTGATTTTACTTCAAGAAAGTTGCACTAATACATCGTTTTTTACTTTAACATTGTGTGGCAACCATTTTAAAAGCAATAAGGTACTCGAGGCAAGTGCTGTATCGTGAATAAGTGACGGCTGAAGGGCGTTATTAGGCACGACGCGAAGCGGAGCCTCTCGTACCTTATTGCTTACTTAATATAGGCAAGAAAATAGTATGTGTATTTGTTAGTTTTTCTGTGCCACCTGTGCCAAAAATTTGATTCTGACAAAAGTAAACATGTTTTTGACTAAAATATTTTATTTGACATGATGATAGTATAAGGTTTTTGCGAGTGGGTGTGTAGTTATGACACTGTTACAGAAAAGAGATGTGTTAGCAATTGAGAAAAACTGTAATATAGACAGAACGATTAATTCTTCCTCCAGGAAAAAAAGGTCTAAATCATTAGTGCTGTATGGTTATTTCATTTATTTTGTAAATTAATTCTAAATGAGGCCAAAACCCAATCAACTGTTGAGTGTCTACTAACAACACCAAACACCATAAGACTAAAGACTTTAGATATTACTGTGCACTCATATTTCTATGAATGGGAGAAAGTACAAGTGGAAAATAAGTGGCATAGTCATTGCATCACTGCACCTGCTTTCACAAGCTCCAGTATCAATAGAAACAGTCAGTGTTGTGAGACACACATTTATGACTGTACATGTGCATTGGCTGGTCCAGCCTGAAATATGCTATTTCTTGGTCATGATTTGAGTGTTTGATGTTTGCCCAGAGAGAGAGAGAGATAAGAGCTGCATGTGCACGACTGAAACAAAGATGGGCGAGTAAAATGACTTGCCTTAAAGAGACATTCCTGCATCAATCAAGGTTACAATTCATTTTGATGGTCCCCTTTAGACATTCTAAGCAACGTTACACCTACATGTCAACTAACTCTCATTCGATTTTTAGTAGAGTGTTATCAAACTGTTAAGTTGGGTTAGGTGTTAGGGTTTGGTTTAGTAGAATTCGCAAAGTTACACACCAAGGACAATAACTATAAAGATAACTATATTAGTATCACTTCAGTGGACAATATCTTTCTTTTTATATAAAGCATGTGCTTGTCTGCCACTTTAAAGGTTATTTAGAGTCAAAAGAATGTCTTAAGTTACTATATTGGTTAGGGACGCACCAATATGACAACTTTGGTCGATACCGATAACTTTATATTTAAAAGCCGATAACCGATACATTGACCAATAAATGTAAATCCGTATTTTTATATAATGTTTGAGAGCCTGAACCAAGCACACAACTATAATATTCTCATTATATTGTCATCTAGCCTATACGACAGACTTGCGCTGCACATGTTGCACTTGATTTCAATCATATTTCAAGCAATTCAAAACCATCATGGTGAACAGTGCACATCTGAAGAATAATACATTTATCTGCTGTAATATATCAGCCAAATTTTCGAGTTATCGAGCTGATAACGATAACATTAAAAATGAATATATTGGCCAATATACTGTGTGCATCCCTACAATTTGTATTGCAAAACAAGTCAGGAATCCAAGGAAAAATATATTTTTGCAGTGACTGACACAGACCAACTGAACTCATGGAACGGCGCTCGGCCAATCAAATTCGAGGACCGGAACTTAAAAAGTTTAGAAATGTTCTTATTTGCTTTACGAAATTGCATTGTCCATCACAAGTATAATTTCATGCATTGTCTGTCACAGCTCACCATGTGTGTTTTCACTTCCTGTATTGCATGCAACAATAATTGCAGAACTCTGATCTTAAAACTCAACCAACCGTAAAGCAACACATGACAGTAACAAGCTAACCGAATGAACCAAAACCCTCACCTCATATATGTGATCATCCTCAGGTTCTTCATAATCTGCTTCTTCTTTCTTCTCCTGAAACCAAACACAATGTGAAACTGCTGTTAATGTTTACTGATAACCGAATTATGAAAAAAACTAATTGTGGTCCACTTTAGATATTCAACTAACTAAGTAACTGCATGTCAACTAGCAGTCATGAGAGTATATAACAGTCTGCCTATTTATAATCCGCTAACACTTTATTTTGATGCTCCTCAACCAATTTTCTACTGACTATATTAACTTTGCAACTACATGTCAGCTTATTCTACTACACCAAACTGTCTAATACTCTAATGAGAGTCAGTTAACATGCACTCGCAAAATTACTTATAGTTAGTAGAATGTCTAAAGTGGACCTTCGAAATAAAGCGTAACCAAACAGTAATGGATACCTCACACAAGTACACATACAAAGTAATAGAGAACTTACCAGCTTGTAAAACTTGACCAGAGGAATGACAATGCACAGAATCAACAGAAAAGCCTGAAGGAAAATGATAACATCCTTGACTCTAGATCTGTGCAAGATAGCTTGGGGCTCACTATATCCTGTGGAAGAAACAAAGAAATACAATGGGGAAACAAGCTAGCGAAGAAAGAAAGTGAATGAATGACACCAACAACAAATCATCACCTACTGGACACTTGTAGCGCAGTTCCTGGTCCAAGCGTACCATTCAGCTTGCAAAAATAAACGCCGCTGTCCTCAATCTCCACTTTCTTTATGGTAATAGAGGCATTTGTTTTTTCACTCTTCTCCTTTATTTCTATTCTTTGGCTGTTCACGAGTGTGGTCTCTGAACCAGTCCGGTCTATAAGCCACACTACATTCGCCGGCAAAGATGAATGAGACGACACACAGTATATCATCACAGACCGACCTGTCTTAACGCCAAGAAATCTTGGCTTCTGGAACACGCGGACATTGTTTGCTTCAGCTGAAATTATGAGATGGACAGAGAAAAAATATATAAGACAAAACCGGTTTAATATTGCAATGGCCATTTGCTGTAAGTTATCAGCAGAAGTAAAACCATGAAACATGCTTGGCATTATCAAAGACACTTAACAGTACCACATTACAACTGTTTATTTTAAAGTTGGCAAATGCAAACTTGTTTTGAAGCGGTGGGACTTCCTCTTTCAGTCACAGATGGGAAGGAAGAACAACACTGAAAACAAGTCTAGGGCAACTGTAATATGCAAAATGTAATTCTGCAACTTTTAAATGTAAAACAAAATCAAATCAATCAGTTGTAAAGAACTGCTATCTTAAATAATTCCTCCCGTATCTTAAAAAGTACATCAAAACGAATACGCTTTATATAATCAAAAAAATTGTGGCAACAAATTACAAGCAATATTATTCATTAAATTTAACAAATTAGAATTGAGTAATAATTAATCAAATTCCTTAAAAGTTAACCATGAGTAAAACTTACAACAACAACAAATACACAAAAAAACATACATTTAAGTCACCATTATGGTGATCGTTGTTTGTTTTAGGATTGTTTAAAAATGACAGTTTTCTCCTTCAGTAATTCTGCTTGTTAACATCAGGTGTCTTCAATGTTGGCAATATGATATAAATAGTTCTTAATCTTTGACGTCTGTCTGTTATTCAGATATTTTTGTTTAATTTTTGGTGTAAACTTTACTCATTTTAAATGGTTAACTTTTAAGGAATTTATTTGATTAATTATTACTCAATTTTAATTTGTTATATTTAATTAATATTATTGCTTGTAATCTGTTGCCACAATTTTATCGATTAGATAAAGCGTATTCATTTTTAAAACTCAAACCAAAAAGCAGTTTTTAATGTTTATAAAACAGCCATCTACCTGAGAAGTAAATCAGCGCCATGACTGAACATCCCAGCAGGAAGGAATGCATGATTCTTGGTCTTGAAATGCACCTCTCCAAGACAATGTAGAAGTCAGTACAGATAAGACAGAACTGAAGGAAGCCAGCTGAAGGGTGCGGGCCATGAAGCTGAGAAGATACAATTCCGTTTCTGAGAAGAAACATGCAAATCCATATCAAGATGATTCACTTGATCCTTAACATTTTGATGCATGGGCGATGCATCAAAATGTTAAGGAGCAAGTGAATAATCTTGATGCAAATACATTAAGAATGATATAGGCTATATTTTACCATTATGACTAAACAAAATACAAATGAAAATGTCAACTGCATGCATCACTGCAGTGTAAGATACAAATCTGCAGAAAAACAGATCATGTCCTGGTAATGATTTTTAGTTTTTAGTTTTATTCTGTATTTTTGTCTTATTTTTCAGACCAGTACATATATTAAAACATTTAAGAGACTAAGTAAATGACTTAAAGGAGTGGTTTTGCTGATAATTTACTCACCCCCATGCCATCCAAGATGTCCATGTCTTCTTCAGTCGAAAAGAAATTAAGGTTTTTGATGAAAACATTTCAGGATTTTTCTCCATAATGCACTTTACTTACTGGTAAGTAACCAAATGGTCCAAGGTCCAAAAGACAGTTTCAGTACAAACTGGAAACTGTTCAAAGGGCTTTAAACGATTCCAGACGATGAATAAGGGTCTTATCAAGCGAAACGATCGCTCATTTAACCCTCAGGTGCTCTTCGTTTCGGAGTCACACTTGTTATCTTCCCGGTCAAAAGTGACCGGACACCTAAAAATGAAACGTTCTCCATCCCAGTAAAACCAATGCAATTTATTTTTGTTCTATAATATTTATTCTTTTTAATTTAGTATTTTGAGACAATTTAATTGAATTTATTAATATTTATGCAATATTTATGGTTTATTTTTGCCATGGGAAAATATATATATTTTTCTATATTATTTTTTTCAAAAAAATATTAATGCAGTATTTTAGTTTAATATAGAGTCTAGGCCTTCAGAAAAATATTTTTTGAAGAAAATTAGCACCATCTGGTTACAGTATAGAGAAAAAGCGTAGAATCATGGTGTAACCACTTGATGTGCTACATATGGAGAGGCATGCATGTGAATTCCCCAGCTGTTTATGAACACATTTTTTGTTGTTGTTGTTGTTGGATTTGAATATATAGTTGAAACAATCTCAAAAACTATTTCTTATAAAAAAAAATTGACAAAAAACAAAAATTCACAATTTTTTTTTTTCATTTTTTTTTTACAATTTCCCATTCATTTCCTATGGGGGTCATTTTTGACCGAAGAGCACAAGTGCGACTATTTTTTGAGTCCACTTAGCATGCTCAGATCATGACCTCAATTTTTTTGTGTGTTCACATACATAATGTCATAAAAGTCACCAAGTTTCGTCACATCGCGATGAAGCTGTGATTTTTAAAAATACAAAACATACTTTTTGTAATCAAAATTTATTGGTGTGTATGTGTATAAAAGTGTGTTTGTATGTGTGTGTGTCTGTTTTGCACTCTAGATGTTGTATGTAGAGTGTCACCCCTTTCCTGCGGTGTACTTTTTTTTTTTTTTAGAATTGTGGCCTATTTGTAGATTGTACATACAAAAATTCAGAGAATTTTTTTTTTGTCAATTTCCCATTCATTTCCTATGGGTCGGTCATTTTTGACAGAAGAGCAAAAGTGTGACTCATTTTTTACGACCACTTAAATTGCTCGAATCATAACCTCAATTTTTTTGTGTGTTCACATACCCAATGCCATAAAAGTCACCAAGTTTCATAATTTTCTGAAGAAGCTGTGATTTTTAAATATTCAAAACAGATTTCTTTAGGGGTGGGTATGTCTGTTTTGCACTCTTGATATTTTAGAGTGTCAGCCCTTCAATGCTGAGCACTTTTTTTCTGCATCGTGGCCGATTTGTAGATTGTACACACAAAAAATTCTCAAAGTTTTTGTGTTTTTGTCAATTTCCCATTCATTTCCAAAGATGGTCGGTCATTTTTGACCGAAGAGCACAAGTGTGACTATTTTTTTTACGACCACTTAGCCTGCTCGGATCATGACCTCAATTTTTTTTGTGTGTTCACATACCCAATGCCGTAAAAGTCACCAAGTTTCGTAACATTCCGATGAAGCTGTGATTTTTAAAATTTCAAAAAAGAAAATTTTTCGGTCAGAAATGACCGAAGAGCACCTGAGGGTTAAAAAACAAAAACAAACAAAGTTTAAGTTTTATAAGCTCAAATTGTCGCCTCCCAAGACGTCATACAACTGACGCTTTTGACCATACTTCAACATCCACTGTTTTAGGGTACCCTTTAACGTCATTAGATGACGCTATCTAACCCTAGACCTAAACCTACCCGCGTCATCTAACTGACGTTAAAGGTAAAGCGTCAGTTGGATGACGCTGGTGTTATTACAGTGGGCTTCCAGCACTGTGGGAATGTACTTGACCTAATTGAAAGATTAAAGGATTAGTTCACTTTTGAAAAAACTTTTGCTGATAATTTACTCACCCCCATGTCATCCGAGATGTCCATGTCTTTCTTTCCTCAGTCGAAAAGAAATTAAAGTTTTTGATGAAAACATTCCAGGATTTTTCTCCATATAATGGACTTACATGGGAACCAGACGGTCCAAGGTCCAAACGACAGTTAATAACAGTTTCAGATGCAGCTTCAAATGTCTTTAAACGACACCAGACGATGAATAAGGGTCTTATCATGCGAAACGATCGGTTATTTCAAAACTTATTCCAAAAATGTAACTTTTCTAAGGACAATGCTAGCCTTGCTCTATTCTGTGAAGCTACATATTAGAACATTTTTAAAGGGTACGTCCCACTCACCAGCCATACTGGCATGATAGCATCACGCAGTGGCTGCAGATTTGTTGGTTGCTCATCCATGATGTGAATCTCCTGTTCCACCACATCCCAAAGCTGCTCTATTGGATTGAGATCTGGAGACTGTGGAGGCCATTTGAGTATGGTTACAATGTCCTGTTAGAGAAACCAGTCTGACATGATTTAAGTTTTGTGACATGGTCACGTTATTCTGTTAGAAGTAGACATCAGAATATTTTGATTTCATGACCACTTTAAAAAATGATCAAATGTACATTGCTTATCAAATCCCCATGACACAAATGGCAATGTTGACCACTGGATTCCAAACTTATTAAGACTGGTTACCTGAGGTGAAGACATCTCTAGCTGGGTGTAAAAATAGAAGGTGTGAAATAAGAATAGCTATCTGGTCAGGGGCCACAGTGACACACAGAAAAAGTCATATAGAGCACAAGTCTAATGGAAAAAGGGGCTTGATAAACACCTCTGGGAAAACATATCCACAAACAACACATGATAGCATGCTAAGACTGCAAACGCCACAAAATCTTGACATGATATGAACTGTGATATTGCAGAGCTGCAATCTGAGACTGCAATTCAAAACTTTAAAGCATGAAGAGACCCGTGTTTATCTTATCAAATTTATTCTGACAACATTTTAAATGCACATTGAATTAAATGTTGTTCAGTTAAGTTATGTTACAAAGAAAAGACAGCATCCGAGAAGTTTGCTTCTATCTGCAATATTGTATATACAGGCAATTAGAGGCGAGCAAAACCTAAAGCACTGCAATGTCTCTCTGCTTGATAAAAATGTAAACAATAGAAAATTATTTGCATATTAACAATATCAATATGAAACCAAAAAGTGCACAAAACTGCACACAAGCTCCATGAGATTTTTTTTTTCACCAAAATTCATTCTCATTTAAACATACAGTAAATTAACATACAAGAGATAACATAAAAGTTAATGCTTTTTTGGTAATAAGAGACCAAATCTAAAAACTATACAAGAGGTAAATATAAATGTCTCAAAAGTGCTTAATTAATACATTTTAAGAAATAAGACATTTGCAATCACTTTAAGACTTCAGAGGAAATCAATCATAAATGTCTCTAATACATGGAACTTTTAGCTACAACTCACAAGTACTAAAACACTTAGTGTACTTGAGGGAGAACTCACTTGATAGGGTTTTAAAATTACATACTTTAAATTGGATGAAAGGTATTCAAGGAAGGTTTGTAAACAAATATGAATTTCAGTTAAAGATATATTAGGTAAGAATAGCATGTGGCATCTACAGGACATTCCAGGCTCTTTTTGTAATGAAGGGATTTAATTTAACCTGGACAGAGAAAAAGAATCTGATGGAACTTAAAGCTACACTGTGTAACTCTTTTAGTTTATTCTTAGCTAAAAACAAAAATGTACCTGCTCATTAATGTATTTACTTCGTTCAAGTAATAAAGTATTCTCGTGAGTGTATAATATGCCATTGAAAATACATACGGGTAAGGGGTTCTAATGTCGGTCGCCATGTTGATCCTCCATCTTGAATGTACATTAGC